GAAGAAGAAGAAGAAGAAGAAGAAGAAGAAGAAGAAGAAGAAGAAGAAGAGGAAGATAAAGCTCAAGACCAGAGAGATTAAGTGGTTTGTCCAAGGTCACACAATAAAGAGAAGAGCTAGGATTTGAACCCAGGTCTTCTAATGACAAATCTGGTGCGTGCTCCACTGTACTGTTCTCTCTTCCTCCCACCAGATTCTGGAGCATAGAATTAACATGATAACAAACATGGTAATTTTGCTTTGGGAGCTTCTGTTATTTTTTTTCTAATATTCCAAATTTTTTCTTGTTCAGTTGTGTCCAACTCTTCATGACCTCATTTGGGATTTTCTGGGCAAAGATACCGGAGCGATTTTGCCATTTCCTTCTGCAGCTCATTTTACAGATGAGGAACTGGGGCAAACAGAGTTAAGTGACTTGCCCAAGGTCACATGGCTAGTAAGTGTCTGAGGCCAGATTTGAACTCAGGAAGAGGAGTCTTAATGACTCCAGGCTCAGTGCTCTATTCACTGTACAACCTAGATTACTTTGCAGTAATACAGTCAAAGGAAAAGCCTAGCTTTATCTCTTGAGGAGACAGAAAAAGTACTGACCCCTTGGGGTCGTTGGTAATGTTCTTTGCTTCTAGTCTTATGAGACTGCCTTAAAATTACTCTTATGAGAAAAGTTCTTATGCATGCTAATTGGGATGTGACTATGGAAATAGGGTGCTAAATGCAGCATGATTAGATGATGTGACATATTTAATTTACTGCTAAAGCCTGCATTAGAATATAGGTCATCCAATAAAGAGGCTTTTTAGCCTAGCTTATCTTTTAAAGTTCAATGATCAGGGAAATGAAAAAATCATAATCAGAGTTTACCAAGGACAGACCCTCTACTCCAGAAAAATTAGTCTGCTCATTGGCCCCTCCATACACAGAGGCACAGTGTTTTCTAGTCATGTGACTTTGGATATATTCCTTAATTTTTCTGAACCTTTGTTCACTCATCTGTAAAATGGGGCTAATACTAATCATGTTGTGAGGAAAGTACTTTGCAAACCATAAAATACCCTTCCCTTTCTTCTTTCCTCCCCTCCCCTTCCCTCTCCTCTCCTCTTCTCTCATTTCCTTTCCTCTCCTCTTCCACAGCCTAGTAAGAGCCTGAATCATGATTCAGACTCAGATCTTCTGGACTCCAAGCCCAGGGCTTATTTGCCTTGTCATGACTTAGCTCATGGACTAGACACTTGCCACCGGGGATTGTTCATCTCTGTAAAACCCACAGTTCCAGCGGCAATGCCTTGTACTGGGGTACAGGTGGGGGTGGGGGAGTATCAATTAACCTCTGGTTGACTGGATAAATAGAGCATACAGATAGACAAGGCCAGTAAGACTTGATCGCTGAGCATGTTACCCACAGAACAAAATCAAGTTATTATGTTTTAAATTCTATTGGCCTGACGGTATTTTTGTCGCAGCCCATATGGAAGTCCCAGATGGGCTGAGGGAGGGATAGAGTAGACCACCTCACCCCCATTGCTCTTCAGATCCATCTCTTAGGTCTTACTGACCATCTGTTCACATGATGCTTCACCTAGTAGCTTAACAAAC